TTTTTTTTTTTTTTTTTTTTTTTTTTTTTTTTTTCAGAATTAACCGTGAATCACACTCACCCGAGAACGGACAAAAAGGCCTGCTTGTGCAGTATCCGTACTTTAATGGGTAAACAAACTAGGTACGTACGGCCAGTTTTACCCAACGTAATAGTAACGAACTGAAGTTTACGACAGAGAAGAAGAGCACCAATTGTCCCCTCACCGCCACCCCTGCCCAGTCACCAGGGAGACGCCGGAGCGCGCCGCGGGGGTACGCGGGAGTCTGACGTCACGAGAGCTGGCGGGGGTAGGCAGCCCGCACGCCCCATTGCGCATGCTCCCGCCTTGGCGTCCGCGGCCTGTCGCAGTGCGCACGCGCGCGGGTGGGCGGGTTTGACTGGCTGTAGGGTCCGCGCTGTCGGTGAATGGCGTTGGTGGCGGGAAAGTTGAGTTCCCGGTGCGCCGAGCCTACGGGGCGATGTGTAGTGACTTCCATAGGGCTGAGTCTGGGACCGAGGTGAGAGCCGCCGGGTGGGGAGCGAGGGACAGGGGAACGAGGCCGCCGGTGGGCGAGGGGAGCCGAGGGAACCTGGGGGGCTGCGAGGCTTGGGGCGGCTTGGCCTGGCCGGGCGGGGACCGGGCGCTCGGCCTGGAGGCCGGCGATGCTGGCACCCTCCGCCGCCTCTCACCTGGGCCCCAGAGGTCCGCCCCTGGGCAGCCTGGAGTCCTCCTAAGTGGGAGGACCGAGCGGAAATGGAAAGTCTACCGCTGGAGATGGCAAGCTATGCAAGGAAAGCTAGAAATGGGCGGGTCGCCCGTGGGAGCTCTTGGAGCGTTTCTGGAATAGGTGGTGTTTGAGGAGGTTGCTTCACCTCCCTGTAGCCCACGTGTCTGCCTAGTGCATCTGGCCCTCGCCACCCCAGTGTGCGTTTCCAGCCCGAGTACCCCCAGAGCCACACATAGCCGTTGGATGCCCCTCAAGAATTGAACCAAGTGTCCAGCTGGGTATCAGCTACGGGTTAAGGGATAGGAGTAAGCATCAAAAGACGTAAGTTCTGCTGTTAAAGAACTAGTGAGGGTGGCCGCTGTAAGAATGACAGTATATGCACAAAAGTTTATATCCCTTAGAGGCGCAGGCGTCATGGAAGACGAAGGGGGAGATGAGTGAAGTTTCAAGGACCATTGAAGTGGTTTGGTAAGGAGAGGATGCCATTCAAAGCAGAGACAGTTGGGAGTATATGGGCTCTGAATTAAGCAAGAGCATGGCTTATTTAGGGAACTGCAAGGAGTTCTGTAAGATTGGAACAAACCGAGTGAGTGAGGGGCAACAGGCTGGGAAGTCAGCGCTGAGCAATAGGCAGGGTAGGCAGGATCTTTGACGCAGATGAGAGAGGAAGCAATCTCAAGAGTCAGCAGACTGTGTTGTGGAAGTCCGTGTAGTAAATATTTAGGCTTTGCAGGCCATGCCATTTCTGTCACAGCCACTCAACTCTGCTGTTCTAATGGGAATGCAGTCATAGATAATAAACAAAGGCAGAGGGCAGTGTTCCAATAAAGCTTTGTGTTTTGCATTTGGCCTACTGGCCATAGTTTGACAATCCCTGTTCCTAAAGAGGAGAGCCACTGTTTAGTATAAGAATGGCTACAGTTAAAACCATATATATATATTAAAATACATATCATATATACAATACGTAGTACATAACATATATTAAAACATATATATATATGTATATATATATATTTTTTGAGATGAAATCTCACTCTCTCACCCAAGCTGGAGTACGGTGGTGCTATCTCAACTCACTGCAACTTCTGCCTCCTGGGTTCAAGAGATTCTCCTGTCTCACCCTCCCAAATAGCTAGAATTACAGGTACACGCCACCTCACTCGGCTAGTATTTGTAATTTTAGTAGAGACAGGGTTTCGCCATGTTGGCCAGGCTAGTCTAAAACTCCTGACCTTAGGTGATCTACCTGCCTCAGCCTTCCAAAATGCTGGGATTACAGGTGTGAGCCACCGTTCCCCACCGAAACCTTGTATTTAAATGATTATTTGAAACCAGGTTAAGGTCCGATGATTTTTGCAGTCGGAACGAGCCTAGCATCCAAAAAATGGGAATCTAGCACAGTCATGTCATGGAACAAAGAATTTAACATCATGTCCTTTGCCTCCCTTGTTTGTGTGGCAATCCTGAGGCTAGCTCCTATTACTTTGGAGTAGAGTGGAGTGGAATGGAGAATAGGAAGCTAGGGAATTGGCGCTGCTCCATTTTCCTTGTATTAACAAAACCAGTTAAGCCAGCTCTTTCCCTTTAAGTGTCTTGGGGAATTATATGGCCACTGTCAAATCTGTTGGAACGCTAGCTTCTTTGGACATTCATCTACTTTGAGGTTACTTGGAGGCATTGTGTTGAGGAATATATCTGAAGTCGGAAGCTAACCCAAGAAACTGAAACAACCTACTTTAATTTTTTTTTGAGACAGAGTCTTGCTCTGTTGCACAGGCTGGAGTGCAGTGATGTGATCTCGGCTCACTGCAACCTCCGCCTCCTGGGTTCAAGCAATTCTCCTGCCTCAGCCTCCTGAGTAGCTGGAACTACAGGTGCGCGCCACCACGCCTGGTTAATTTTTGTTTGTTTGTTTGTTTGTTTAGTAGAGATGGGGTTTCACTATGTTGGCCAGGCTGGTCTTGAATTCCTGACCTTGTGATCCACCTGCCTTGGCCTCCCAAAGCGCTGGGGATTACAGGTGTGAGCCACTGCTCCCTGCCTACTTTAAAATTTTAATTCACTAGAATTAGAACCTAATAAAATAGTTAACCTTTCTTGTGAGTAGCAGGGAAAAGACATTTCATACGGGGTCAAACTTGTAAGAATTTTTTTTAGGTTGGGCATGGTGGCTCACTTCCGTAATCCTAGCACTTTGGGAGGCCGAGGCAGGCGGATCACTTAAGGTCAGGAGTTCAAGACCAGCCTGGTCAACATGGTGAGACCCTCTGTCTACTAAAAATAAAAAAAATTAGCCGGGCATGGTAGTGGGCGCCTGTAATCCCGGCTGCTTAGGAGGCTGAGGGAGGAGAATTGCTTGAACCTGGGAGGCAGAGGTTTCAGTGAGCTGACATCATGCCACTGCACTCCAGCCTGAGTGACAGAGCAAGACTCCGTCTCAAAAATCAAACAAAAAATATTTTTTTAGCAGATTCTAAGGATGAAGTTTATGATAAGCCAGGTGGAGAGTGGAAAACATATGTGATCTTGATTTTGAAAAGACAAGCATTTGACTACAGTTTACAATAGAACAATCCATTTTTACCTTGTTTTTTGCACAGTAGCAGTGGAATTTTTACTTCTAAATCTCACTGAGATTGTGAGGAACGATTCAGTGATTTGGGCAGTATTTTGGTATCATCTACCAAATGGCCTCATTTGTTTACAGTTGTTAAAAAAATGGTGTACTTTGCATTGTTTCAAGAATGCTAATATGCCTTGCATTTAAAAATAGTAAAAAATTGGAAGTGTCTGTCCAGTTTTGGTTGCTATGCACAAGATACCATGCTTTCTTTAAAAAACTAACCCCATTATATTTATTATTAAAGCAGTTCATGTACATGGCAGAAAATTTCAATAGCACTGAAGTGAAAAGTAGGAAATGTCTCCAGTCTCAATATCATTTCCCAAGAATAGCCCTGTGAATGTTTGTACATTCTTCCAGAAATTTTCTAATGACATATTTTGGAGGCTTAGATTCAGAGAATGCTGGACTGGAAGTTCAGAAACGTTGGTTCTACTAGGAGCAAGCATTGTGATTTTGGATATCATTTAAGCTTTGCTATACCTTTGTGAAATGAGGGTGGTAGACTAGTTTCTCAGTTCCTTTACAGTTCTACCTTAAGGAAGTGGATTCATATACTTCTTTGTATCCTTTGAAGTAAACACAGTGTCTGCCTAGTAAACTTAAATTTTTACTGATAATAACGATTGGTTTTCATTTTTTATTTTTTTTGAGATGGAGTTTTGCTCTTGTTGCCCAGGCTGGAGTGCAATAGCGCAATCTCGGCTCACCGCAGCCTCCGTCTCCCAGGTTCAAGCGATTCTCCTGCCTCAGCCTCCTAAGTAGCTGGCATGCACCACCACACCCAGCTAATTTTTGTATTTTTAGTAGAGATGGGGTTTCTCCATGTTGGTCAGGCTGGTCTTGAACTCCTGACCTCAGGTGATCCTCCAGCCTCCGCCTCCCAAAGTGCTGGGATTATAGGCATGAGCCACTGTGCTGGCCTGGTTTTCTTAAAAAGAAAAGCTATGGGGGGATCTTTTTGCTAGAGGCAAATATTACCTAAGATAAATATTTAATATTTCTTTAAAAATAATAATTGGTGTTGTATAATCACAGAGTTTTAGAACAATGCTTATCACCTTTTATCTTTGCATCCTTTTTACCCCTCCGTGTTCCTTCATTACAATTATTCCATTATAATTCTCATCAAATTACTTGCCTCTTAAGGCTTCTAACCTATTTACCTAACCATGGTGAAACCCAACTGTCTACTTCCACTCAGCTGAATATTACTAGAGAAAATCACAACTAGGCTGATTTTAAATTTATATATTTATTTTCATTTTTTTGAGAAATGGTCTCACTCTTGTCACCCAGGCTGGATGGCAGTGGCACTATTATAGCTCCTTGCAGCCTTGACATCCTGGCTCACGTGATTTTCCCACCTCAGCCTCCCGAGTAGCTGGGACTGCAGGGACACACTACCACACCTGGCTAATCTTTGTATTTTTTGTAGTGATGGGGTTTTGCCATGTTGCCCAAGCTGGTCTCAACCCCTGGGCTCAAGTGATCTACCTTCCTCGGCCTCCTAAAGTGCTGGGATTGCAGGTGTGAGCCACTGCGCCTGGCTCCATTTTAAATTTATAATCATCAATCTTAAAAGGGCATCTAGTCTAACAGTATTTCCCTAGTAATTCACTTTTCTCACTACAAAACATCCAGCCTTCTTCCAGAATTCCAGACTCATGTTCTATCATCTTGACAGAACCATGTGTATGTTTAATAGACATCCCAAGGCCGGGCGCAGTGGCTCACGCCTGTAATCCCAGCACTTTGGGAGGCCGAGGCAGGTGGATCATGAGGTCAAGAGATCGAGACCATTCTGGTCAACATGGTGAAACCCCGTCTCTACTAAAAATACAAAAAATTAGCTGGGCATGGTGGTACGTGCCTGTAATCCCAGCTATTCAGGAGGCTGAGGCAGGAGAATTGCCTGAACCCAGGAGGCGGAGGTTGCGGTGAGCCGAGATTGCGCCATTGCACTCCAGCCTAGGTAACAAGAGCGAAACTCCGTCTCAAAAAAAAAAAAAAAAAAAAAAAAAAAATAGGCATCCCAGATTTAAAACCATTCAGGATAAATCCTCAATTGCATGTAGATCCAAGGGAAATACACTGAAGAGTTTATATATTAGAGAAGAGTATTGTATGTATCGATGTTAAATTTATTATTGTGATTGTAATG